CCACAGCAGTTAGTTGGAAGGATCCTGAGTAAGACTGCAGGACCCTTCTAACAAAATTGCCATCAGTTATTAAAAAGACTTTCTAGTACCAGCATAAACCCAACACTAAGTCTAAGATGAACCAGGTGCATCAATTCTCTTGAGTGGCATCATTATATTCCCTCCTTTTGCCATTTGCTGTTCAGGTATGCAGATTTCCACTCCCTTGGCTGGACAAGTCTCCGGGCAGCAGCACGGCCAGCTCTGGAAGCGGCAGGCACTGTTAGAGGTCCCCTGCTCAGCACCTCACTGAAGGTCTCCATTTTTCCAATTCTCACTCTTGACCACCTTTTTCACTTGAGTCATTGCCCTTTCTTGTTCTTTGTTTTGATCCTTTTTCCTTTAGGCTCTTCTCCCTGGTTAGGAGAGCTGACAGAAGCGGTGGAAGGGGAGAAGAAAGTTTCTCAAGAAAGTAAGGAGCAGAACAAGAGTCATCCCCATACAAGGGACCACAGCCCATGCATGCACACAGCAAGAGTCCAGTGGTCTCCACGGCACACTGCTATCACCTTACTTAACATCTAATGTATTTGATTGATTTATTCGGTCCAAGTTATGCACAGCTTACAATCCACTCACGTAACAGACAACCCAACCGACACTGAAGAGCTGACCCAACACAACACAGAATTGCTCCCGAAAGTGTAAATGGAGATTAAAAACAACCGGCAAGTAGAGAGCAAGGGATTCCTTTTGCTGCCCGCAAAAGGAAGGACAAGTCAGGCCCTTTCAGGGACACCTCAAAGCCCTGTACCACTTCTCCTGTCCCCGGTCACACAAGCTCCCCTCTCCTCATTCAGATTGAGAGCCAGGACTCAACCTTAATAAATACCAGATCACAAAACCTCCAAACCTCACACAACACAACCAATTGCGCTTGCTGCTGCTCGCCAGGACCTACTGCCCGTCAGACACAGCCCTCCATCGGACGCTTAGCTCCAAACAACCCAAGTCATTTGCAGCTTCTTCTATGACATTTCCCAAGTAGGATCTACTCTTTAATTCCCTGTTGGGAAAATGGCAAGAGGAAAAAGGATCTATGTGCTTGTTGCACAGGGAACGAGG